AGAGCGTCAATGAAAATTCTTTTGTTTCATATCCATTCCATGACTCATTCTTTATCTATTTTACATAGTACAAACTACCAAAAAAAAAAAAAATCCCAACAGGAAAGTCAACAAGCAGTCTTGTTTTCTTCCTAAATTTCCTTACCGGTCAAGCACATGCCATGCCAGTTCAGACAGTTTTTGTTTCTCTAATTATTTTTGTGCTTTGTTTAAGATGTTGACTTTATCATCATTTTCATATACACAGTGCGATTCATTTACTTCATCTTCTTCCATCTCCAAACTATATATATATATATATATATATATACACTTTAATCTAACTGTAGAAAATTTATTGGGATATTTATATTTTATACCGTGTGTTTTAGGTTTATTCAAAATCTATATCTTTACTTTTTTATTTCATCAAATGTATACTTTTAAAGTTCAAATTAGATTTTTTTTTCATATATATACAAATTTATTCCTTATTTCAATCAATACTTGATTTTTACCTTTAAATGACCAAATTATCCTTAAGAAAAAAATAAAAATTAAAACTTTCCAATATTATAAAAAATTAAAAAAAAACACACACACACACAAACAAAACCCATTTCTATGGAATTTTGCATACTTTTGAGGTCAAAAAATTCTAAGTTTAAAGTTTTCTTTATTTTTTTTCTTTTTCCATTTTTTTACTCAATGATATTTTATGTATTTTTAAGGTTAAAATCGATGATTAACTGTGAAAAGGTATAAATTTAGACATTAAATCTAATTGAATGTATACATTTAATAAGATAAAAAATTAAATGTATAGTTTTTGAATAGACTCAAAATACAAGATATAAAAACGTAAATATCTCAATTTTGTACCAGGCTTTGGAAAATGTTAATGTTCCTTTTTTTGTTTTTTGAAAATATTAATGTTGTGTGCTTAGGAAAACTACTGGCTTTTTATGTGATTAGATAAATTACAAAAATAGTTTGAGCATTTATCTGAAATGCATGTGAAATGACCTCCATTTCCTGATTTTCATGTATTAAATTTTTGCTTGTTGTTTTCCTTTTTTTTTTTCTTTTTAGAGGAGACCTTATTCTCTTGCTCTTGTATTTGAGTCCATTTATCAATATTATGAGGTTTTCTTGTTAAAAAATAAATAAATTAATTAATTAAAAAAAACATGTGAATTTCCGCATTTTATTCAACTGTATACTTATGTTATTATCCCATACCTATTTACATAGGCACAAACAGAAAAAAAAAAAACAAGAAGAAACTTATTTGCATTTCTTTTGATCCCTATATAAGTGATACTTTTTTTTTTGGGACATGGGAAGAAATTTAAGCCGTTGCACTTTAGGGCGAAGTTAAGTGTGGAAGTCACCGCTTGCCACCAATATTATAAAAGAAAGTCTTAATGCTGATACCATCTTTAATATAAATATTAATATCAATAGTATATTTGGCACTATAAAATGTGATAATAATATGTTTAATATATTATTTTTATTTTTATTCTAATACATAATATTATTTCAAATATTAAATTTAATTTTTAGCGTAATAATTGAGTTTTGGAAGTAGTAAAATTTAACTTTTAATCTTAAAATAATTTTAAAATACAAATATTACAATGATTAAATGAAAATGTAAACATATCAACCAATAGAAATCAAATGCTAAATTTTTCATATGCTATATTTGGTGATAAATTTACTACAAATGAAAGCATGTGACAAATTTAGCATAACCAAATGACATTGCATTTGATAATGTTTTTACACTTAAATGTCAATTTTTCTATTAATATATCAACTATAGCTTTGCATTGGAGATGCTTCTCATGGAGATTATTGTGTTAATGTCACATTTTGTTCAAACCATGTTTTCTATTTGTTGCTTATGTTTTTTTTTTTATATATTAAGTATTTGTTATTTATGTATTATCAAATGTGGGTACGTGAGTGTATGCATATAGTGGTAAAAATTCAGGCCGCCCGACTTGATTTGGGTTCGGAGGCCCAAATGAAAATTTCAGGTTGATTTGGCTTGGTCCTCAACCCAAAATTTTATAAGGTATTAAAAACAACTTTAAAAAGATAGCATTTGGGTCGGATTAGGCCGGTCTAGGCTAGTTCGAATAAATTTTAAGTTCAAAATCTTACTCAATTTGACCAGAAATTTAGCGCCGGACCTAGACCAATAATAACATGCCTTGTGCCAATCTGTTTAGGCCGACTCAAATTTATAACTCTATATGCATATATCCATTAAAGGTTTGATACTTAGCTATTTCATTTTTTTGTTAATAAAGTGGGAGGCTGGGAGCCGTAGACACCACGTATAAGAAAAAAATGTGTAAACTGCTAAATCACGAGATAACATTATTAAAAGTAGCGTGAATAAAAAAGAAAAGAAAATCCATATGTATCACATGTGATGGTTGTTTGCTTAGTGCCATAGACTTCTTGGTAAATTTAAAAAAAAAAAAAAAAAAAAAAAAAGTGGTTGGAGGATATGGAAAATGGGTAACGTAAACTTATAGCACGTATATATGCGGAGATTTGTCCCGGACTCAATAATTGTATATATTCCTTTTTGTTATTGTCCAGTCACAAAAAGAAAAAGAAAAGAAAAAGTCTTTGCTTGATCCTAATAATTGAGAATCGCGGATCTTCGTTTTTTTATTACTTTAAAGAAGGAAATTTCTATAATAAATAAGGCTAAAATATATTTATCTTGAATCGGTTAAGTCACCCTTATAAAGAAGTAATTAAGAGGAAATATATATTCCAAAAAAAAAAAAGGGGCGATTTAGCAGTTAAATGACAAAATTATTGCGTGCCACGCGTATTAATGTGAAATAGAAAATGGTATGACTCTGAAAATGTGATTGTGTTTTTCTTAACTGTTAATCAATATAACCAACTATTATGTGATCCTTGTTATGAGACATCAAAGAGAAACAAAAGCCGAAAAAATTAAGAGGAGATAAGGAGTTGTTTTAGTCCATCAGTTTAAATAAGATGATTTGAATTAAAATTTAAATTTTTATAAAAAAAACACTTAGATCCCGTTTAGTTCACTGATTCGAGTTTTTAATTCGAATTAAGATGTGACTTTATATGAGAATTTTTTACTATAATAAAAAAATTAAATGTGATTGTTTCTGAGAGTTTTTTACTATAACAAAACTCAAATTTTAAATTTAAATCAATTAAATGAACGAGACCTTAATAAAACCGTTTGAATCGTAATTCAAACCCCACCAATAAACATGTTCTAAAGTTTTTAAAACAATTATATATTGGACCAGTTATGCATAATAAAAAAAAAAGCTTTTTTTTTCCTTTTTTTGGGAAAAAAAGCCATATCACTTTTATGGCAATAAATAGAAAAATGATTGTCCTTTTATTTTTTTAATCAAATGATTGTCCTTTTTTTGTGACAATGATTGCCCCTTTGTTTGCTGCCGATGAAGAGTAGTTTAAAAATCTTGCAGTACGACCACTAATTTCTTAAAGATATTAAGCATTCGTTTATTTTACCGATTTGAGTTTTTAATTTTAAATTTTTACAGTTAAAATCTCTCAAAAAATATCACATTTAATTTTTTTTACTATAGTAAAAAAATTTTAAAAAATATTACATCCCAATTCAAATTAAAAACTCAAATTTACAAAATAAACGAGGCCTAAAAATATTACCAACGTAACCCGACATCCTTTTTAACCTTTTTTTTTTTTAAATGACATCATTTTTAAACTTTGAGTGCGTTTACTTAAAAGGGAGATAAAGTTACCATTTCTCTCTTTTCAAGAAAGAAAGGAATTTACATAACCTTTTTATTATTAAAACAACATATCTCGGCCCCTTAACTTTTCTATTATTAAAGCGGCAATGCGCTCTTTTAAAGGAAGGGGTGTAAGCACTTCACTCGCTAAGGTAGTAATTTCTTTTCTTTGCTTACTTATAAAACTAATAATGGTTTTATTCACACATTTTTTTATTTTCTAACACTCCTTTACTTTAATTTTATTATAACAAAAAGACTCTTACATACAATAACAAAAAAAGATAATTATGACATATTTAATATGTAATTAAATTTAATTCACAAAATAAATATGTAATTAAATTTAATTCAAAAAATAAATTATCTCCCCACACACCCCACATATTATATCCTAAATTATATTGTTATTTTGAAAATTATAAGAAAATCTATAATTTTTCACCTTTCAATGACTATTCTAAAAAGTTGCATTGATATAATGTTAATTTTTTTTTTCTATTGGTTTATGATGATTTTTATTTTTTATTTTTTTAATTTTATGTTTATATTTTTTTTACTTTTTTTTTGGTAAAGACTAATCATTTTATTTTGTTTTTTATTTTTATTTTTTATAAGTCAGATTTATATTTTTTCCAGTTTCATCATCTTCTTTTTTTTTTTTTGAACAAAAGCTTCACACCGAAAACTTCAACAAAAGAATAAAAAGAAAAATATGAAGGGATAAATAAATAATACTATTTAAATAACAAACTAAGTAAAATGGTGGGTGTGAAAAGAAAATGGAAGTGGACAGTATTTAATTATTTTATAAAAAGAATTAAGAGTATTCTTCGAATGATAGGGGTGTGTAAATTAATTCTTTCAAAATTATATGGAGTGTGCATTTAAAAAGGGGCGTGGAGAATAAAAAAGATGATATGAAAAGAACCGTCCTAAAATTAATATTAGACATTTAATAAGCTCTGCATAATAGAGAGTAAAAAAAGGAAATGTTAATCCTTATATTTCATTAGTATTGATATTGATTTCCTGTTAAAACACAAATATTAAATTTACTTATATAATCAATGAATTATTACACAGTTAATGCTTATAACCTTTAGTAATTTTAGTAAAGAACCTAATAATGTGTTTTTACTTGTAAAAGAACCTTTACTTATATACAAAATGAATAACTATATACACAATAGTTATTATATTGATAACACTGCTATTTTTAATTATAATGGAGATTAAGAAGGTAATGAGGTGCTCTATTTAATAATTAAATAAACACTTGAAAACGAATCAAATATACTTATTTTTATTTATTTTTCCTTTTAATTCCATCATATTCCTTTACGTTTGATAAATGCGCCCTTTCTTCGTAGCAATTTCCCAAAAGACAAAAAAAGTTTCTAGCATTAGGACCAAAAAGATAACAACAAACCATGCTTGATCATATATACTATGTCTCATTTTAACTCCCAACATTTATTATAAGTGTTATTGCTACCACGACGTTTTTAATTTGGAAATAGATAATGTATTATTAAAAGGATAAAAATGCATATGTTTTAAAAAGTCAAGGTAATTATAACTTAAGAGCAAACGTCGCGAGTCGAAATGAAAGAAATACGTATAATTAAGAACAACAATAAAAATAATCATTATTGTTGTTTGTTTTGTGGTCCTAGTGCTAATATAATATGACAACAACAGATGATAGATTTTAGAGTGATCAAATAATAAAAATAACACAACTTAAAATAATTAAAAAAGAAAAATCAAATTATACCGTTCATTTAAGCTCTGATTTTTCTTTTCATGTCATCCTCATGCTACAGTTTGTCTGAAAAATAATTGTTAATTAATGAATGGTTTAAAATTATATATTTTAGAAACACCAATTAGATCATAAAATTGAAACATAGATTAGTTCGTTTGAGATAAAAACTCATCACTTATAAAGTAGTGGTTTCTATTAGGTTGAGTCTCATCTACTAATTTAACGGTATCCATTTTTTGTGAGTAATGAGATTTTAAGGTCATCGGGATAAATAAGAGTGAGAAAAAATCCTCATAAGAGCAACTCCAATCATACTAGTCATTTAATGTTTTTAACTAAAATAACTAATGATTTAACTTTTTCTCACTCCAACCATTAGCTAAGAGCATCTCTAAGGGAGCTCTATAAATTTTAGCTAAATTTTAGCTAAAATAGTTAGAAAACCATTTTAGCTAGCAGTTTTTCAACGGTCACTTAAACCATACTCTCTATTTTAACTAAACATATATTATATTAATACCTTTTGAGTATAAACTACAAATAACTTTTTTTTTTTACTTTTACTTTATGTCAAAATAAAGAATAAAATAATAAAAAGAGCAAATAGCTGGCCAGTTCTTACTAGCTATATTTAGCTAGTGAAAAATACTTTAGCCAAAATAGCTAACTATTTAGTTATGGTTGGAGTAGAGAAAATAAATCACTATTTTGGCTAAAAACATGATTCGGAGACGTTTAGTTCATGGATTAGAATCACGTGATTAGAACTATTTTTGATTTACGTGTATTTTTTGTGAGAGAAAACACTGTAGTGAACCATGAATCATGATTCAAATCATAGTTTGAATCCTCCAACCAAACGTCAAATGACTAGAACGATTAGAATTGCTCTAAATGGTTAGCTATTTTAGTTAAAACATTTTTCACTAGCTAAATATAGATAAGGAGAAGTGGTTAGTTATTTATTTATTTATTATTATTTTTTTGACATAAAGTAAAAGTTAAAAAAAAGTTATTTATATTTTAAACTCAGAAAAAATATTAAAATAATATGTGTTTAGCTAAATAGAAAGTATGGTTGGAGTGTCTGACTAAAAAATTACTAACTAAGAGCATCTCTAAGTGAACTCTCTAAATTTTAGTTAAATTATAGTTAAAATAGCTAGAAAGCTATTTTAGTCACTAACTTTTTAGTGAGTTACTCTAACCATACTCTCAATTTTAGCTAAACATATATTATTTTAATATTTTTTTGAGTTTAAAATAAAAATAATTTTTGTCCTTTTACTTTAAATCAAAATAAATAATAAAATAACAAAAAGAATAAATAGTTAGCTACTAATTATTAGCTATATTTAGTTAGTGGAAAATACTTTAACTAAAATATCTAATTATTTAGCTAATAGTTAGAGTAAAGAAAAACTAAAATAAGCTAAATCATTAACTATTTTAGTTAAAAACATAAAATGCCTAACATAGTTAGAATTGCTCTAAGATGGTTTTTAACAATTTTATCTAGAATTTAACTAAAATTTAGAGTGTGTTAGTTGAAGAGAAAGAGAGGTAGGTGTGGGAGAGAGATAAAAGGAGAGTCTAATCTCTTGTTTAGTTGGATAAAGAAGGGAAAAGAAAGGAGAAATAGAGGGAGACTCCATCCACCCGAACATACCATTTTACATCCCTCCACTTGCGGAGGATTCCATACAATACAGGCACTAAAAATTTGAAAATACCCTTTTATCTTTCAAAAATTTATTTAAATTTAATAAAAAAACAATTTAATTATTAAAAACATTTTTTTATTTATTTATCTTTGTAATCTCTGTTCTACTAAAGAACATAAGGTTGTTCTTTTACATTTTTGAGTTAGAGTGATTTGAGTGATAATTTTAAGTTGAGTTTGAGTTATAATTTGAGATAAAATTGTAACTTGAGTTTGTGTTTAGATGTGCACATTTGAGTTATGATTTGAATTGAAAATCTTTTTGAGTTTGTGTTTGAGTGAGTTAAAACTAAATTTGTATTTAAATAGTATTTTAATAAAAACTCAATGGTGATGAAAAATTTTAATAGCGTATATGGGTGAAATTTTATTCGTCTTTTCGTTGTGAATGCAAAGAAAAAAAATCATCTCAATAAGAATTAAAACGAAAAAGTTATGACATTTTTAAAAATATAAAAAATATTATTTATTAACTTGAGTTCGAATTTATGAACTCGAGTTAAAGGAAAAATTTGAACTCAAATTTAGTCTTAAACTCGAGTTAAACTCGAATTCAAACTCAAATTTTATAAAAAAACATGAACTTAAATAAAATTATAACTTGAGTTTAAATTTTTATTAAAAAAAAAAAAAAAAAACAACCCATAAAGAACCACCTTTATTCTCTTTCATCTCTCGATAAGTTTTAGAGAACTTTGGTGGAGATGCTCTAATAGTATTAAGGGCAAAAGGACAAAATAGGGCAGCTCATATTGTTCCTGTCATGCGTGTATCTGACACCTTGTCGACTTCCTAAATCTCGACCGCACGATCACACTTATCATCAACTTTTACACAGTATGAGATTCTCTTGATCCAATGTACCCAACTCCATTTCTTTTCTATAAATACTCCAATCGTGGCATTAGTTCATTGGCAGTCAAAACCGTCGCCAATAAAATCCAAACACGTGTTTTATTCTAGCTCATCCAATTGTCAAAATTACCTCTTTACGTTCCGTAGTCAAACGGCGCGTGTTCTTAGTTTCCCGGATTCTTCGGGAGCCGCCATGCCCGCGGCGCGTGAGATTCACCTCTCGGGCTTGCGAAAAGCACGAATATGGGTAATGTGGTAACCGCAGGGATTTATGTGGTCCACAGAAGAGGGAAAGTCTAGGCCAGCCAGGAAAAGGGCACGCTGGTAATTTACTCGAACCACGTGGCAATTCCGTAACGCTTGCGCTTCTCCTCTTTTCCCCTACTATATAAACCCCGCATCCGCTTCGCTTAGCTTCTCCAATCCACTCCCCAGAAAAAAATATAATAAAATAAAAAATTGAACAGTCGCTGAAAATTCTCTCTCACGTTCTTTTCTTGGAGTTTTTACGGACGGCGCAAGATAATTAGGGTTTCTTTCGATTCGTCTTCGTTTGTGAATCCGTAAGATTCTCGGTTCTTCGATTTCGTTTCCTCGAATTATTATTGTTTTCGTTCTCGTTTGGTTTTTGATTTTGGAATTTCGTTGAATGTCCAGGTTTTGATTTGGGACTACGAAAAAGGGAATTTTCGGTGCAGCTTGTGTCCTTCCTCGTTTTTTTTCTTAAATTTGTAAGTTCTTCGATGGTTTGAAACCTATTTATGGATTCATTTTTGTTTGTTTTCTTATTATCATTTGTTGTTTGTTTTTATTTTATTCCATGGTTTGTTATCAAAGATGTTTGTTGGAGCGGTTTTTGGATTGCCTTTTCGCTTAACGGAGATTGCTTTTGTTCATGGATAATGGCTAGATTAGATAGGGATTATGCATTATGATTTAATATTGAATGCGTAATGAGTTTTGTATCTCCTTTGTAATTAAAAGTTAAGGCTTTGCATTTTGCAAGATTAACTTTTTTTCCCCTTATATTGATATGGATGCTTCCTGTAATTTTTTTTTATTTGTATATTTTCCTGCGTTCATGGTGAAAATTCACTGGTTTTCCTAAAGAATTGGCGCTTTGTCGTATCTTTTACAATAATTTAATTCTGAAAAATTTTTGTTGAAAATTCGCCTTTCTGTGAAGCCTGGTTGGACGCCAAATTTTGGTTCAATAAAACTTAACCTTACAAGTCTGTTATTATTTTTCTTTTGGGTGCAAATTTTGTGGCTTTTCCTTAAAAATTGGGACTTCGTGTTGCCTTTTTCTATAATTTGATAGTGAAAGTTTTTGTCAAGAATTCGCCTTTCCTTTATGGTTGTGATGTAACGATGTTTATTACCATTGCTATTTGCACACTTTTATCACATGTTGGGAATTGTTAATGGTGCTGTGAGATTTATTTTTTATATGGTTTGTGAAAGTTCTTCGATGGCTAACTCCATTTTTTTTAATCATTTTTGCAGTGTCGACTGAATGAACTAATGGAGTCTAAAGGTGGTAAGAAAAAGTCTAGTAGTAGTAAATCCTTATTCTACGAAGCTCCCCTCGGTTACAGCATTGAAGACGTTCGTCCTGCCGGTGGAATCAAGAAGTTCAGATCTGCTGCCTACTCCAACGTAAGTTGTTTTTTCAATGCTACTTGGTTCTCACAATTGCTGGCACTTAAGTGGTTAAATTGCTCACTGATGAATCTGCTTTTCTACTTTTTGCAGTGCGTTCGAAAGCCATCCTGACTCCCCCTACGTTGAGACATAACCCCTTGAGATCCGTCATACCGCATTCATACAATTCTTTTTCCTTTTTTCTTGCTTTCTCTCATTTTCTTGGCGTCTTGTTTTCTAAAATCTCTCACTCTCTGCTGTTTCGATTTGCTTTCTCCTTCCCTCGTCCTTTGCTACGTGAAGCGTTGTTTCTTTCCTTTAATTCGAAATGGCTGTGCCTGTCTCTGCTATTGGTTTTGAAGGCTTTGAAAAGAGGCTTGAAGTTTCTTTCTTTGAGCCTGGAATGTTTGCTGATCCAGGGGGGATGGGCCTCCGATCTCTGTCAAAATCTCAAGTGGATGAGATTCTGAAACCAGCTGAATGCACTATTGTCGATTCACTGTCCAATGACCATCTTGATTCATATGTCCTTTCAGAATCTAGCCTCTTTGTGTACCCGTATAAGATCATTATCAAAACTTGTGGGACAACAAAATTGCTTCTTTCGATCCCTGCAATTCTCAAGCTGGCTAGCTCGATTTCTCTTGCTGTGAGATCTGTGAGGTACACTCGTGGGAGCTTTATATTTCCTGGTGCCCAGTCTTTTCCGCACCGTAACTTTGCAGAGGAGGTAGCTGTTCTTGATAGCCACTTTGGAAAGCTTGGTTTGGCCAGCAAAGCTTACATGATGGGCAGCCCCAACCAAAAACAGAAGTGGCATGTATACTCTGCTCATGCAGAACTGGCAAGCTTGGTCTGGGGAGCACGGCAGTTGGGTTCTGTCTACACTCTAGAGATGTGCATGACTGGTTTGGACAGGGAAAGAGCATCTGTCTTTTACAAAACGAATGAAAGCTCTGCTGCTAAGATGACTGAGGATTCTGGTATCAGGAAAATCCTTCCACAATCTGAAATTTGCGACTTCGAGTTCGAGCCTTGTGGTTATTCGATGAACTCTATTGAAAAGGATGCGATCTCCACTATCCATGTGACGCCAGAAGATGGTTTCAGCTATGCAAGTTTTGAAGCAATGGGCTATAATTTTGAGGATGTTGATCTGAGCCAGCTGCTTCAGAGGGTGTTGGCTTGCTTCCGGCCATCTGAATTCTCTGTGGCTCTGCATTCCTCAGTTGTTCGTGAAGAGCTTGGATCTAAGTTCCCACTGAGCTTGAAGGGGTACTCTATTGCAGAAAGGAATGCTGAAGTGCTCGGTATGGGTGGAACTCTCATCTACTACAGCTTTGTTCGTGGTGGAGATAGTGGATCTCCCCGGTCGACTCTTAAACGCTTTTGGAGTGAGGACGAGAAGGATGAGGAAGGTGAAGAGAAATGGCTTTGAATTGAGAGTGGTCTTTCTACTATTACTATTGTTGCTGAATAAAACAAGTTTGTGAGGGGTTATGTTGTCTTGAGTCATGTCATCTTTTTTATGCTTTTCCAGTCGGTTTGAACTTTTAATGAGTGTCTTATGGTTGTTTGTGTTTCCCGTTTATTCTGTTTAATAAGGCTACTCTTCCACACTTGATGTGGAAGTGCTGGAGTGGACACCATTATATTGGAATACACAGTTATGTTTGATTGTTTCATTTATATGTGATGTTGCAGCTATTTGTTAAATCTTTTATTCCGGAATTTGTTCTATCTATGTTGTGTTGGTGCCATGTTTACGGTTTTTGTAGAAAAATAAGGTGGTGAAAACATTGAAGGATGATTTTCTTTGTTTTTGATGGGTTAAGGATTATACGTTCCCTTGATAAAGTTTTGCATTTAGAAAGGATTTCACAAACACAAGCACTGAACAAATATAGGTGTCGGATAATTAGATGCGTATTGCTCATAAGCAAATTGTTCAAAAGCCTCCTTTAGATGTGTTGTGTTCACTGTGGCTTTTTAGTTTTTAAGCCCACAAAATCTATTTTTAATTGTATATTGACGCTTATTTTAAGCAAGAAAGAACCGTGTCCTTGATTTTAGGGTCAACAAATCTACTCCTTAGTCCTTAATCTTTGCAAAGAGTAATTAAATTTAAAAAATTTTATATGGATAAAAAATACAAGAGTTTTGTGTGTAGTTAATAAAAATACAATATATATATATATATATATATATATAACAAAAATTTGTATGATTGCCCCCCTTCTAAAGTGGGCAGACTCAGCCTTGTATAGCTCTACGGCTTTTAGGTAGCATGGTCGTAATAGTCTTAACAAAAAAAAAATAAAAATCAATTTCAAATGGACCACAAAACAAATCAAACCGCCAAACTTGATCCAAGCAAGAAACGTAAGCAAATGCGAGAAGGAAACTAGAAAAGAAAAGGCAACATACTTTCCTTTATTGAAAAAAAAAAAAGAGGCAGCATTCATCACATATGAAGAACTGTCACGCCTAATATTGGAATATGATAGTAATTTCTTCCTCCTTTTTCAACACGACAGATTGCGGAAAGTTCAACAGCAAAGTTTTTCCAGCGATTACAATTTGAAATGATAAATTAATCATGTGCACGGAATTTCATACTACTGTTGCATGATGCACGCGATAGGCAAAACTGCCATCTTTGAGTATATGCAACATCTCTTTGGTAAAAAATGCGGACTTGTTAAGCAAATAATCTGCTTCAAGATTCGAATTTAGAGGGTTTTTTTTTTTTTTTTTTTTTTTTCTCGGTTGGCCGACCTACTAATAACATAAATTTTTTATTATTAAATTTAATTAAAATCACATTAAATTAAAAAAATACATAAAATAAATAATTTATAATATAAATCTAACAATTAAAAAATAAAAAATTATCGATATTTTTTATTCGGTAAAACTCCCTTTTTGTTCCTAAAAAGGTTTCTTTTTCTTACTTATGTCTAAGAGACAAACTGCACATTGTTAACTATCAAGATATTGCTCCATCATGATATATTAATACAACTGGGACACGACATTTTATGACAGGCATCAATCATCTGACAAGAAAGACTTTCAATTGTACCATCTTATGAGCAGACCAAAATAAAGGAGAATTATGTGATTGAAGAAGAAAAAAAAAGCCTTACTTATTGAGGCCATATTCACTTCGCTGATTCGAGTTTAGAATTTGAGTTTTTTTACAGTAAAAAATTCTCACAAACAATCACATCTAACTTTTTTACTACAGTAAAAAGCTCTCACATAAAATTACATCTCAACTCAAATTCTAAACTTGAATCAGCAGAGTGAACGGGGCCTGAGTTCTACACCTCAAGTCATGTTAGAATCACAGACATTATATATAAATATATATATATATATATAAGTATGTATGTATGTATACATATGAGTTTTCAATGGTTTATGTTTGTATGATGGTAATCGATAAGGAAATAATTCTCTCAACATGTAATTAGGGCTGTTCATGGGTTGAGTTGGTGCGGGGTAGGACTTTTTTTTCTCCGCCCCAAAGGGTGTGGGTTGCACATATTTGGCCCCAACGACATTAGAAAAATTTCATAACCCAATGATATTCGGGTTGGGTTGGGACGGTGTGGGGTGGGTTGGGTGGTCAGTTTCAACATTCAAAAAATCAAAGACTTAAAGTTCAATATAATATTCAAACTTCATCATTAAATAGAAATAGCAACCATCCTTATCAGTCCGGCGAGAGAGCACCGGAGAAAGTGGGCAAGACAGCGGCCGAGAAGACTGAGCAATGAGGAGAGAGTTATGAGGGGGTTCACGGGAGGGGAAAAAGAGGGAAAACTGAAAAGGAAGAGGCAATAAGAGGGGGTTCACGGGAGGGGAAGAAGAGGGAAAACTGAAAAGGAAGAGGCAATAAGAGGGAGTTCACGGGAGGGGAGACTGAGAATGAGATTGTGAACCTTAATGTTAGCGAGCCTAAGGTAGAACTTGGGCAATTTGGCTTGGGCCAAAAGCTTGGGGGTATGTTGTGCGGGTTGGGTTGGAGATTGCGGGTTGTTATGGGCCCAACCCGCAATCCGCCCCAAACACTTCGGGCCAGAGGTATAATGAGCCGCAAATTTTAAAATAATGCTGCGGGTTGCTTTTTTCAGCTTGGGTTAGGGCGGGGTGGGTTGAGTTTGCGGGTTGTTCGGGTTTATGAACAGCCCTACATGTAATTCTTTGAAAAAGTAGTTTTGCAGAAATTGCCAACTTTAATGAATATATTGGTCTTCCTAATGAAAGCTGTCCCTCAAATAAGTAAAGAGTGTCACATACTCTAGGTGGCAGATCCAAAAATATAAACACAAAAATGAACCAAAATTGTTACGCTAGGAGCCAAGTTTTAACACGGCAAAGATTCAGGTAGACTTTAGACGACAAAATATCCTTCAGTTCCGGGCAAGCCTTCATACAAAGTACTAGAATTCAGTAAGGGCGGAACTTCCTAGCAGCTCTGAGCTGTTGTATCCGCTTTTTGTCCTGCTCAAACTTGCTCTGGAGCATCATAAGTTCTGTAACAAATAAGAATCTTTGCTTCATCAGTACATGAAAAGATGGAAACTAATAGGAAAAGCCAAAGTCGTGGAGGACGATCATGGACTTGATATGCTAAAGACTAATCATACCGTTCCTCTGGGCTTCTTTCCTTTGAAATCGGTAGAAATCCAAACCAACTTCTTTGGACTTCTTTTTTGCCAAGTTGCCCTCCGCAACAGCTTGCGCAACAGAGCCTACAGTCATTCCGGTTTCAGCATCAGTCGTCTTTTTCCTTCCTTTATGATGTGTAACAACCGTCCATCCGCCTTCAGCAGCACGAGCTTCTCTTTCTTTTCGCTCCTGCACGTGTAAAATTCAAGAAGTCATAAAGTTCTAAGCCAAAAATAGAGAAAGTTCACAGGCATTTAGTTTTGGAGACATGCAAATATCTTCATAATATTATGTGAACTCTATTCAATTTTGAGCAAGAGAATTGTGTATAACATTGCTAGAATGGAAAATGTTAAAAGGGGAATAGAGTTCAATACGACTCGAGTATTGGAGAGGTTTTACCTGTTCCAACTTTTCTTCATGAGCAGTAATGAACTCATCTATTCTTTGTTGCAGAATTGTCAACCCTGGTCTACTTTGATGGGACTCTGTGATCCATTCTGCATTGACAAAATTATTATGACTAAAGACTCAATAGATATATAGTATGTAGTGTTTCCATCAATTTGTTAAAGCAAAAACTACCTAATTCCAATATAGAAAATAATGAAAACGCATTCTAATTTCAGGAGGGCTGCTGTCAATGTGATAATTAACAGCAATAGATAATAGAGAAAAATAGAACTAGGAGGTAATAGTGAAACAGTTAAACAAAAGTAGGTTTGCCACAGAGCCACATAAAGAAAGCATGATGAGCTATCAAGTCTAGCAGAAGATTTGTACTGCCGTTACAAGTGCAAGCGTAACGAGCTTCGTAACTTTATCTTCAGTCCAATATTTAGATATCCCAAATATTGGATTTCCTTAGTGAAAGACGTCATTCTACACGCTTTTACCAAAATTAAATGCACAGTGTTTAAACATCACAAGTAAACGATTTTGTGGCTTCAGAGTGAGTATTTCAAATTAAGTAATTCATACTTTTCATTCCTTTGGAGCAGTCTTCATCCCCTGAAGAAACAACATACACATCATCCTCATCAGCTCCTCCTTCCGTTTCCTGTGACTTCACCACTTTTGATGAATTGCGATCCTTCTTTTTCTTTTTCTTCACTTCCTTTGACTTGCCTACGTAGAAAGTGATTATTTGTTTATCCATGTTTAATAAATGACAAAAGAAGAGAGTGTTCTTCGACACTAGATTGTGATGAGTGAACACAGTTAAATATGCTATCCAGTACCATACCTTTCTTTCTTGTCAAAGGGTCCGCGTCTGCTGTAGAGACATGGAAAACCTCAGTTTGATCAGCGTCTCCTCTTTCTGGCAACTTTTCCAATTCCATCAAAGAATTCTGCTCCTTTTCCTTTCTCCGAGCTTTCTTTGACCTACCTACAAGATAACGACTACCAAATTAAAAGAAGATTCTAAGACCGCTTGGAACAAAAAAGGACCATCAAATCAAAGTATGTAATCTCTTCTTAAATTTCAAAGAGGCTTTGGTTTAATGTATAAAGTCAACAAATAATTTTATGAAGCCGAATAGAGGGAAGGTTAGATACTCTTCATGCTTGAATAGCAACAAGGCACTTTCACTTTTTTATTTTTATTTTTTACCATTTTCTGCGTCGAAACCATCACCAGTCTCGTTTTCTGCTTGATTACTCTTGCTCACCAAACTATTGTCATTCTCCACATTCTTCACTCTTTTATTCCTCGGTGACTTTGCTCCTTTCTTCTTTTTGCCTGTTCTAATTGCATTATCTGCCAACACAAATTAGAGGAGGTTGTTTCAACCATAAAGTCATCTAGCAAACTATGTAACAACTAGAAAATCGCTTTTACCTTGAGTAGGAATCTGAACACCATGGACAATGCCAACACTCAGTTCCTTCTTCCGTTTTCTCTTCTTCTCTACAAGTTGGTCCTTTTTAGTTTCGACCTCCTTCGTTTTATTTAGCTTTCTATCTACAAGTAGCAAAAAAGGGTTAAGGGGCTAACATGCTTCTCAACAAATTTGCGCATAATTGCATTAAATTATTCATTAATCGGTTATTAATCTCTAATATTTCAAGATATCATTCTTGATTGATTCCTCCTAGCACTAAATCTTTCGCTAATGAGTACTTATGATTTTATCTGTGCCTCAATACTCAAAGTCACAACTTTAAAAGCTCACAAGATGCATTTGCAAAAACTCTATAATGAAATCTATTTGCATAACATAAAACCTCTTTATACTAAAAACTATCCTAATGTTTTAAATGAAGCAGGTTCATTTCACCATCTCTAGCACAAAAACACAAACTAGCAAAACACACGTAGAAAATAACAGAATAAAAACTGTCGAAGAGTTCTAAGCAAAACCCATAAAATATTTCCTAGAATTCCTCCAAAACTTAACGAAACCAAAAATTTCGAATCAAACCACATTGATAAAACTTCCGAAACAGGAAAAAAAAAAAAGGCATTAAAGAGGCAAACCGTCATTTTTCATTGGAGGTAGCTCCTTGTTTTTTCGCTTCTTCTTGAGAAGATCCATCCTTCCCATCTCCCTCGGTGGGTTTCGTTTGGTTTTCGCTTTGCCTGATGAATTCGATTGCGGCGCTTGGAACGGCGAACTCAGAAGCCCCGCGGTCGCCTGTGGATTGTGTATGCAGAACAGGAAAAAACGAAGAGAAAAGTGAAGATGAAATAAAGGGCAATTCTGACATTTCACTATTATTCAGATTGTCGTTTGAACAAAAATATATGGGTTTTTATTAGGGCCGTTCACAGGTTGAGTTAGTGTGGAGTAGAATTTTTTCTTTCTCTGTCCCAAAGGATATGAGTTGCACATATTTAGTCCCAATAATGTTAGAAAAATTTCACAACCTAATGATGTTTGGGTTGGGTTGGGGCAGTGCGGGGTGGGTTGGGTGGTTGGTTTCAACATTCAAATAATCAAAGACTCAAAGTTCAATCCAACATTCAAAGTTCATCATCAAATATAAATAATAACTCTAACATTCAAACATATAGAAATTCAAAGTTCAATCCAACATCAAACATGAAACAAAGTAGTCCATCCAACTAAGGGTGTAAGAAATCACCCCGAACCCGATTAACCTGGTCTACCCAACCCGAAAATATAGGATATTCTTTTTTTTATTAATTTTGTCAATTTCAAAATAGCCCAACCCACAGTGTGCAGATAGGGTCGCGGGCCGGACTTTATTTGACTTGTTAAACCCTACCCGGCCGACCATGATATTGTCTTCCTTCGTGATTAGTCTTGGCGTTGTTTTGCCATTTGGGTTTATTAGTATTTAAGGTTTTATGTTGATTTGACCACACTACTCTTAATATTTTGCTATGGTTTAACCAAATTTCTTGTATTATATCCATTTTTTACTCTTGCCCAACAGGTCAAGAAGAAAAAACTCATCAAGCGGGGAAAATTCAAAATCTACCTCTGCAGGTACTTTTACACCATATTATAATACGCCATTGAATTTGTTTAGAAGTGAATTCTAACTCTGAGATTGAAGGAGAGGTAGGGTTTTGAAGGAGAGCGAAGAGAATTGTGGCTTGGCGGTGGAGAATTCCGCGGAGGTGGTCGGAAATCGGAGGCGTGGTCGCCCGAGGAAAGTTGGTGTTTTGAACATCAATGTTGAGGAAGAGGAGGAGCTGTGCGAGGTCTAGAAAAATGGCGAGGTTTTCGGTTCTAGTTCTAAAGAGAATTCATTTGAGGTTGGAAAAAGGGATGGATTTGGACAAGATGACACTCGGGGAGTGGTTTGATTTCTTGGAGGTTACTTTGCCGAAACTGATGGTTTACCCGAAGTAACCCGGCTGACCCGAGATTACCTGAGGTAACCGGATGGTGTACGGGTTCAGGGGACAAGTAACTTGTAGCGGCCCACTTTTGTCTCAGCCTGATTCTTACGGGCCAGCCCAACTCTTTGTTAAAACCCTACCCTACCCAACTGAATTTCACCCTTACATCTAACATCAAACATAAAGCAAACATAAATTAGTTTACACTCATAAATTAGTCTTAACATAAAGTAAACATATAGGCTTAATTCAACATGAAGAAACTAGAGAGTATAAATGAGTTGCATGCTTAGAGTTATATATTAGATGAGGCAAGTTAGAGTGCAAGTTGGGTGGGGGTGTGCGGGCCATTATAGGCCCAACCCACACCCCGCCCCAAAACTTCGGGCCAGACATTGAATGAGCCAAAAAAAAATTTAATACTAGAAATTACATTTTTCAGGTTGGGTTGGGGTGGGGTGGGTTGGGCCTGCGGGTTTTGCGGGTTTATGAACAGCTCTAGTTTTTATCACATTCCAAACTTGGTATGGTTTAACAAATTACTCATTAAACTTTCAATTTTAAAAATTAATCCTCCAAATTTATATAATTGTTGCAATTAACCCTATTTAGATAACGACCGGTAAAAAATAGCCGAAAATAGACATGTACGTGTCACATGGTTTTAAAAAGGACAAAATTGATATTTTATATGCCTTAATTATTAAATAAAATATTAATAAAAAACCTGAATTAATGTTAGTCATGCATCTTGTATCTTTTACTATTCTTAAAAACGCCATAATTTTTTTGTTTCAATTCCGATTGAGATGATTTTTTCCTATGCATTCACAATGAAGAAACGAATAAAACTCCACTCATACACCCTATTAAAATTTTCCATCACTATTGAGTTTTTATTAAAATACTATCCAAATACAAATTCAAATTTTAACCCACCCAAAAATAAACTCAAATAGATTATCAATTCAAACCATAATTCAAAATGTGCACATCCAAACACAAACTCAAATTAGAGTCCCAACTCAAACCATACTCAAATACACCTTAACTCAAATCAAGATATGACTCAAGTCACCATAACTCAAAAAATACAAATGAACAAGCACTAAATGTTATCTTAGATATGGTTTAACTAAAAAGTTTGATAAAAACTTTTTAAAGGTGTTCAAATAAATATTTCCATCAAAGAAAGAGTTCACATATTTTGAGAGTTTTTTATTTTTCAAAATTTATTTTGTTTAACATTTAGGTTTAATAATGTTTTCAATAGTATTTAATAAGAATTGAGAAGGATGTTCATGAAATGCTCAGAAATTTAATTACTTTAGGGGTATATTTTCATAAACATAGGGAGTGTTTTGGGCATTTGTATAATAAGAGTGGTGAAAATGGTATTTTGACAAAATATAAGAGGTGTGTTGGATATTTTATCTAAATTCTTTTTCCATCGTTATAGTGTTGTTTCTAAACTGCTGTCCTCTACCTCCTATTAAGATTATTGTCCTTAGCGTTCTATCATATGAAAGTCCTTCTTAACTTCATTTGTTTGGTTCATGGATTAGAACCATGAGATTAGAAATATTTTCGATTTACGTGTATTTTTTGTGAGAGAAAATATTGTAGCGAACCATGAACCATGATTCGAATCAGTGAATGAATCCTCCAACCAAACGGGTGATTTGATAGAGACATGGATATGATAGGAAAGAAAACGAGTATGAATAAAAAGATGAATTGTAATTTTTCTCAACATCGTTTTATATGGTAGGAAGGAATGGTTATTATTGTCCTTCTCCTTGTTTGGTGTTGGGATTTTTTTTGACCTAATTGGATTAAAATCTGATTACAAATGAGGATAAATTAGTAATTTCAGTTTCCAAATTAGTATTTTAATAAATAAACGAAAAAGAAGAAAAGGGTGTAAATGAGATGGGATGTTTCTTAAAACAACTTTATTGGAGGATATTTAGCTAAATTTCTCCGAGGGGAAACAACATTAACCCAACAATTTCGACACAAACTTTTCCAACTCTCTGGCGGGTTTCTCTTCTGTTAATGGCCGGTGAAACACAATTCATTCAGAGTGTGTGTGCCGTTGTAATAAAAGGCCAATGGAGCAACCTTTTCAATCCCAAGGTTGGAGTTTGTCTCTCTTCAACGACCATTCACCAGGTGCTTCAGCAACTTTCTCTCCATGGCTATGGCCCTTCACCTTCTTGGGCTTTCTTCAACTGGCTAGAGTTAGGGACCAATTTTAATTACAAGCACTCCTTGCAGTGCACATGGACCATGATTCATATCCTCACTAAATACAGACATTTCAGACCTGCCCAACAACTGCTCGCGAGAATTTCCCACAGAGATTTCATTTCTTCGCCGTCGGTTTTGAATGCTTTGGTCACGACCCATAATGACCGGGATGTGAATTCTCATGTTTTGAGTTGGCTTGTGATATTCTACGCCAATTCGAAGATGACCCAAGACGCAATTCAGGTTTTCGACCACATGAGAGTACGTGGACTTAAGCCACATTTGCATGCTTGTACTGTGCTTCTCAATTCTTTGGTGAAGGATAGGTTGACTGATATGGTATGGAAGGTGTACAAGAAGATGATTCGAGTTGGCGTAGTGCCGAATATTCACGTGTATAATGTGTTGATTCATGCTTGTTGCAATTCTGGGGACGTTGAGAAGGCGGAGAGTTTAGTGAGTGAGATGGAGTTGAAGTGTGTTTTTCCTGATCTTGTTACGTATAACACACTGATATCGTTGTACTGCAAAAGAAGTATGCACTACGAGGCTTTGTCTGTTCAACATAGAATGGAAAGTGCGGGAGTTAGTCCTGACATTGTGACTTATAATTCGCTTATTTATGGATTTTGTAGAGAAGGTAGGACGAGAGAAGCTGTGAAGCTTTTCAGGGAAATCAAAGGTGCTAATCCGAATCATGTAACGTACACCACGTTGATAGACGGGTATTGTAGAGTGAATGACCTTGAAGAAAGTTTGAGATTACTTGAGGTGATGAAGGCCAAGGGGTTGTACCCTGGGGTTGTTGCTTATAACTCGATTCTCCGCATGTTGTGCAAAGAAGGAAGGATAAGAGAAGGAAATAAGCTTTTGGTTGAGATGAATGAGAGGAAAGTTGAGCCTGACAATATAACATGTAATACCTTGATAAATGCCTATTGCAAGATTGGAGATATGAGGTCTGCATTGAGGGTGAAGGATAGGATGCTAGAAGCTGGATTAAAGCTCGATAGCTTCACGTACAAGGCGTTGATTCACGGATTCTGCAAAGCGCAGGATATGGAAAATGCTAAAGAACTTTTGTTTTCTATGCTTGATGCCGGATTCTCTCCTAGTTATTGTACCTATTCATGGATTGTGGATGGTTTCTGCAACCAACAGAATGAAGATTCAATTACAAGACTCCCAGATGAATTCGTGAAAAGAGGTCTTTGCGTCGATTTGTCGCTCTACCGAGCATTAATAAGGAGGTTTTGTAAAAGGGAAAGACTTGATAGTGCTGAAAGGGTATTCACTTTTATGCAAGGGAAGAATTTATCAGGAGACTGCATCGTATACGCCAGTCTCGCTTACGCCTACATGAAGGCAGGGAAGTTAGGAGATGCCGAGGCGATGTTGGATGAAATGTATAAGAGGAGGTTGATGATAACACGCAAGATTTATAGAAGCTTCAATGATTCTTATGCTACTGATGATAACATCATGCGCATGTTTTGGGACCATATGGTTGAAAGACGTTTAATGTCAAGAAGTCTTCTCAAGGAAATGCAGAACTCATAGGGAATAAACATGTTAGGTGTTGCAAAATCAGTGTTTCCTATGCCCTAAGAGTCACCCAAGAAAAAAAAAAAATTTACCAAAGTCTGCTTTCACGTGTTGAAGGTTTCACATGCTTATGGGTGTGGATACTCTAAATCATTAAGCATATGAAAGCATCTTCTTAAGACCTTTATGGAAGAGTGATTGAGGTTTAATTGCTAAATCAGAGATCCATCTTCTCTCCATTATGTTTCTTTTGTTTTTATCTCGTAAGGTGGGAGTAGTGGAACCAAGGTTTTTGGCTGGAGGATTTTGTTCTCCATAGCTACCAAAAAGATTAAAAAAGAAGAAACAAGTTTATTGTTGCGAACTGTTATTATGGAGGTGATATCTAATGAAAGTGCAAATTATAACAACTTTTGTAACCAACTACTCTCTTTTTTTTTTTTTTTTTCCTTCCTCTCATTAATCTTCAGCTTGGTATGTTTTACTTTTCAGGGTAAACAAGAAAAAAGCAGAGTTTTCTGATGTCCAAACTCATGGGAAATATATATCAAAGATATACGGTAGCCATAATCCTTCTGTCTATGCACAATCATTTTGGATCCATTTTACACACAATGCAAAAAAATATTTTATCTTGTCAAAACTGTAATTCATTAAATTTTATTTACTTTGTCATTCATTTCATTAGAAAAGAATACACAAGGTCCTCGGAAAAAAAAAAACAGAGAGAGAGAAATAGATCCAAATCTCAAAATAGGAGCATAAACGGGCAAATATGCAAAAGATTTTCCTTTTTTTTTCTCTGAATGTTGTGCTCACTAGGATCACATCCATGCATCATCAATGTTAATCCATACAATGGAATCTGTCAAAGAAGACCTCAAAATAGTAATCTGTTACCGCTGAATATGGGATGGTGAGAAAAATTTGCAAGCCTCCCCAGTCAAAACGCATCCAAAACACATACATCAACACCATGGTGGTGACACGTTTCTGTCTCTAGACAAACCTGTCATGACACGTTTCAAGTTGCTCTCTCCACGTGGCAGTACACGTGTAAGCTTAAGGTTGGTTCTAAACACTATATAACCCTTCCAACTCTAACTGGCCAAATCATCCAAAGCATTCTGTTCTTTTTTAATCTCCACAAACCAACAATCAAAATTTGTGTTTTTCCAATTTCCCAAGAAACTAAGCTAAAATGGCAGACAGTTCTGAGAAGATAAGCTACCACGCTGGGGAGGCCAAGGGTCAAGCTAATGTCAGCTTAAATCACTCTATTTTCTTTATTTCAAATTCAAGATGCAGAATAGTACTTTGGCATATATAATTGTTTAAGGCCAATTTAGTGATGTGAATTTGTATTAATTTGGTTGATATAATGTGTGTTTGATTCAGGAAAAGGCTAGCAACATTTTGGACAAGGCTAGCAACACAGCTCAATCGGCCAAGGAGTCAGTACAAGAGGTAAAATCATCACTTTATTATTAATCCTCTTCCAACATCAATGTGACTATTGACATTGGATAAATTTCATGTTACGGTTTTCATTTTTATATGTTATGTGGGAGTGGACAGTAATAGAAGTACTTTATTGCTTATGCCTTACTTTGCATTGGTGGCAATGTTTTGAAAATGTTTTGTTTATTTTTGTAGGCCGGTCAGCAGATGAAGGCTAAGGCCCAGGGAGCTACTGAGGCTGTCAAGAATGCAACTGGCATCAACAAATGAGCTTGAATGGAGAGATTTTTCATCCCGTTTTGCTTTAGGCATTGTTGTTCTTGATTTGCTTGTTTCTGTGTTTGGTTCAAAAAAAAAAGGGAGCTCTTCTTTAGTTGGAGCTCTCGTATGTTGTAGATTTCTTCTGATTTTTAATTGCAAATAAAAATTGAATTTTTCTGAATAGTTATCGAAACCAATTCGCATCATAGAGGAAAAATAAAGCAAACAAAATCTTTGCAGATAAAAATGAGAAAGAAATGGGGAACCAAAAAACAAAGAGAGAGAGAGAGAGAGAGAGAGAGAGAGAGAGAGAGAGAGAGAGAGAGAGAGAGAAGGAAAAGGATTTTAAAGTTCCACTCCAGATGCTGAGATCTCACAGATCAAACCTTTTTTTTTTGCCCCCTCGTTGACAGATCAAACGACCTGAATATATAAGAGAAACTCTTCGAAAGTAAAGCTTATACGTGGCCTGTATTTGCAATGCTTTAGACTTGAGATTATCTTTGCTGCTTCCAGGTCAGCTGATCTTTTGTTGGTAACTTTGGGTATGTTCAGCATCTTAATCAAACCTTAAAAACTTGAATGTCGTATAAAATTATTGTTCCCACTTCTTAATACCTTAAATTTTTAAGATTGATTATTATTACGTGTTGAGTATTTAATATATTTTAGGTTCATTATCAAATATTTACTGTGTTAGAGCTTTTTAATTAATTTATTCACACGATTATTAATTGTCTGACTATACACGATTATCAATTCTCAGTTCACACGTGATATCTCTTAATAACTTAAACTTTCGTGATTAGCCTACTGTTACCGTCATTCTAGCTTGGACAATTATCTTCAGTTACATATTACATGCATAAAAAGCTTCAGAAAAAAGAGTTAAATCCACGTGTTACTTTACATGGAGTAAATACCTATCCATGACAAAGCACACCTCAAAAGAAAACCAATGTTATGCCATTCCAAATGTACTTTTGGTTTGACCTTCTATCACATCTTAATACTGAAAGGACCACAAGAAAACCAATGTTACACCATTACAAATGGACTTTTCGTTTGAACTATTATCATATCTTAATACTGAAAGGATGGTTTAGTGCTTGTTTGGTAACCGAGTAAATTTCGGTTCAATTGGTTCAAATATTTCTGTTATAGTGTTTTCATTTATTTATAAAATTTGAATTTTGATTCAAACTACCTGATTTAAATCTATGAATGAAATGAGACCTTAGCGTTTGGTGTGTAAGCTCTTCCTCAGAAGCTACTAGCTAACTTGCTACTGTTTCTTTATTTGAATATCAGGGAATATATTTTCCAATCCACATCTACATTATGATCTGGTCGTTTTCCACTTTTTCCTCTTTATTTTGTTTCTATTTTTATTTTTATTTTTATTTTTATTTTTATCGTTTTCATGTTATTGTTGTTCTTCAAGTTGATATTGTTTTACATGATTGTTACAAATTTTTGGTATGATGTCCCTTTTCTATTTGATGTTTCTAGTTCGATGACGATGTTCTATTGTCGTCGTTTTCCCGATTTATGTGATTTTTTCATTGGTGTCGTTTGCCAGTTATTGTCGTTTTCCCTTATGATGTAGTTTTTCTGTATGATGTCCTTTCCATTATTTATGTCGTTTAAGTTCTTTTTTTCACTTTTGGTGTCGTTTCTCTTGCCTTTTGTTAGTCAGTAATATATAACTTGAGTTTTTGAGTGTGATTGTAGTTTTTGAGTTAAATTTGAGTTATAACTAGTTGTAACTTGAATAAAATTGAATAAAATTGAATAAAATTTGAACTTAAAAGAACGTGAACTTAAATAAAATTGTAACTTGAGTTATTTTTTTCTGAACAACCCTATAGTATCCTGTTATCGTTTTAGTCTTCTTTCGCCGGTTATCATTTAATAATATTGTTGTTGATCAAATTGGTGTCATTTTTACTACGTGATTGATTTATATCATTTCGTTTAATGTCATGAAACATGATGGGTACGTTTGAAATTCGTTCTAAAATGATTTTATTTTTTGTATGGAAATAGAAATGAAAATGTTTTCAATCTCAGACAGAAATCATTTTTAAAAATGCGTTTGGTAGTTTTATCAATATATTTTTTTCAGTATAAAAAAATCTATTAATGTTTTTATCTCTCTCTGTACTCGAGAGAGGAGAAAATAAAAATAAAAAATGAAAAACGACTAAAAGTCATTTTTCATTTCTCTTCCATTTTACAGTAAACTAAAAAATTATTTTTATTTCTTTTTTTCTCTTTAATTATGTCAAACATCATTTCTCTCATATTTTTATTTTTTCTTTCTTGAAAAATGAAAAACGTAAAAAATAAAAATAAAGCCAACTCTAAACATGACCGATGTTTTTTTTGGTCAGATATAAATTTTCCACATCTGTCGTTCTTCTGTTTTTGTCGTTTATTCTTTTGATGTCGTTTTTCAATGCTCGTTCAGTCAAAACTCGATTCTCCCCTCTCTAAAACCCTAGCTCGCTAGCGCGCGCGCTCTCTCTCTCTCTCTGTTGCACACTGAGCTCGACAGCCCAAAACTTCTCTGTATCTCCAACCCTAACAATGAGACTTTCAAATCCATGGCGTCTGCTTCGTCTCCGAGCTCGCCTCGGCCCTTTGGTTCGCGCGTCCGTACACCCCTCTCTCTCCGAGTTGCCATCGCAGCCCAACCTCAACTCGCTTCGGTCTCTCACTTCACTCCTTCACTCTCGCTCGCCTCTTGGTACGCTTTCTCCTTCTCAATCCATTTTCGCGATTGATCACATAAACCCTGGGATCCAGAGATTCCAGAAATTCTCATCCGAGCCGGAACTTGAAAGTAGAGATTCTGATCAAGCTGTTATTGTATCCGACATTTTGTCCAAATCGAACAATTCGGAGGAGATTAAGAAAGATTTGGAGTCGAACGGGATTGTGATAAGCCATGATTTGATATTAGGGGTTTTGGGAAAACTCGAATCTTCTCCTGATGTTGCGAGGAGGTTCTTTTCTTGGGTTTTGGAAAATGAAGAGAAGAGATTGAGCTCAAAGTCTTATAATTTGATGCTGAGAATTTTGGGTGTCAATGGGTTTGCTAACGAGTTCTGGGTTTTATTGGAGGGTATGAAGAAAAAGGGATATCTTATTTCCAAGGGCGTTCGTGATAATGTTTTGGAGAAGTTTGAGGAGGAGGGATTGGATGGAGATGTTGAGAGGTTGAATGCGGTTTTTGATTCGGGGTCGATCAACAATTCGGAGAAGAAGATTTCTTCTATGGTTTGTAGGATTATCAGAAATGAGGTTTGGGGGGATAACGTGGAGAAACAATTAAGGGATTTGAATGTCACGTTTTCTAGTGATATGGTTAAAATGATATTGGAAAGTCTGGCTTTGGATCCGATGAAGGCGCTTATACTATTTCGGTGGCTCGAAGAGAGCGGGTTGTTCAAGCATGATCAGCAGACATATAATGCGGTCGCAAAGGTACTGGGAAGGGAAGATTGTATTGATAGGTTTCAGAAAATAGTTGAAGAGATGAAGAGTTCTCAGTTTGAAATGGAGGGAGAGACTTTCCATGTTGTTCTTGGACGGTTTTGTAAGAGAAGAATGATTGAAGAAGCTGTTAACTTGTATGAGTTTGCAATGTCGGGTTCCAATAAGCCTTTGGAAAATTGTGGGACCTTTATGTTGAAGAGAATAGTCACGGCCAAGAAGTTGGATATGGGTCTGTTTTCAAGGGCTGTGAAGATTTATACTTACGGTGGGAATGTGTTGACAGATTCTACTCTCAGTGCAGTTCTCAAGTCTCTAACAAGTGTTGGTAGAGTTGGAGAGTGCACTAAGGTTTTGGAAGCGATGGAGGAAGTTGGATATGTTGCTAGCGATAATCTGCGTAGTAAAATTGTATTCCTGCTTAATAATGCGGGCAAAAAGGATCAAGCAATTAAGTTTGTGGATAAAGAGGAAGTACCTAGGTATACCTCTGGTCAGAAGACAAGGAAAACTCTAATTATGGGACTTTGTAGAGTTGGATATTTCAATGAAGCTTATGATCATCTCCGAAAGATGGTTGAAAGCGAGGGTGTTGATTCTGTCTATTCTCCTTTAGATTCTATAGTGGATACGTATTGCAAAAGGAACAAGGCAGTGGATGCTTGGAAGATGCTTCATAATCTTGTCAGTGAAACACAGGTCAAGCCATGGCATACGACATACCAGATGTTGATAACTAATTTATTGGCTCAGGGTGGATTTAGTGATGCTTTGAAGGTGTTGGGGTTGATGAAAGGTCACGGGTTCCCACCTTTTACCGATCCATTCGTTGCGTATGTCTCAAAGTCTGGATCAGGGGATGATGCTATAGAGTTTCTGAAGGCGACTACGAAGAGGTTTCATTCTACCTCTGTGTTTCTCCGTGTGTTTGAAGCCTATTTTAAGGCCGGAAGGCGTGATGAAGCTCAAAATTTCCTTTCTAAATGCCCCGGTTTCATCCGCAACCATCCCGATGTATTGAATCTCTTCTCGTCCATGGAGCCTGCAGAAGTTACTGCTTCCACTCCGTTGGCTGCTTAGAGCCTTTGTTAGGTTGCATCTCTTTTTTGTTGTTTTTGAGGATAATGTATCAACGGGCAAGGCCTTTGCTAAAAATAGTTTGGCATCAATGTCACCTTTGCTCACAACCAAAATTTATTGATTTTTTGAGAATAATCAACTTTTTTGTTTGGTGGCAGCAAGCAAAGTTCAAGGTATTCAAGTGTAAGTTTGAGTATTTTTCTTACTATATCTTGGAAGAGTTTGACCTTTGATCTCTCCAGCATATGGTGAATGGTTAGATTGCCGATATCGAGATTAAGTTTATTGAATTTTATTTATCTCTATTGATTGATAATAATTTTCTTTGAGCAAGCTACCTTCCATCCAGCGTCCTCTGACCTCTCTTGTGGCATTTTTTTTTTTTTTTTTTTGGTCGTTTCGATTCGTTTATTGGCCCAAAAATATAACTGGGGATGAAATTAAAAGCATACTTCTTAAATTTAGAAGATAGCTTTACTAAGAGTGTGTTTGGTATGATGGAAAAGTGGAAGGAAGGATTATTAGATGGAAAGTGATAGAGTTGGTTGTTTGGTAAGAAGGAAGAGAGGAGAGAAAGGAAAATATGATGGAAAAAAATTATGGTGGGGTTATTATTTTTTATCTCTTCAACATTAGAAGGAAAATTCAAATTCACTTATTGATGGTTAAATTTATTTTTGTGTTCTTATTTTAAAATTTAAATTAATATTAAACAATTGATAAAATGGTCATTTAGGCTATTATATGTTTTTTTTTTCTTCTCATTATACCAAACACTATAAAGAAAAATCAACTTCATTCATTTCTTTCACATTTTTTTTATGTGTTTTTTTTTTCCATTCTTTTTTCTTTCCCTCGTACCAAACATAGTGTAAGTTTAAAGAATAGAAGGATAAATTGGAAAAAAAAGGTTGAAACTATGAGGTACACGTATAGAGCTCGTTTAGTTCGCTGATTTGAGTTTTTAATTCGAGTTGAGATGTGACTTTATGTGAGTTTTTTACTGTAGCAAAAAAGTTAGATGTGATTGTTTCTGAAAGTTTTTTACTGTAATAAAATTTAAATTTTAAACTCAAATCGGTGAAATGAACATGACCATAATTACCCCAAGTATATTTTGCGAGCATATTGCATACGTCACTACAAAACTAACTCTGATTCTAATAGTTTACTTTCCTATGGTTGCACTTAAAAACGGTAATTGTTATGAAAATGCGTTTTATTTACTGCTTTTTTTTTCACTTTTTTAAGAATATTCTTATAATAACTCATTACTGCAGAATAGCTAAAGCCTGAGAGATCAAAAGGTGCGCCAAAAAAATATGTTATGAACGACATGTCCTTTTCGTTAACGGACATGAGTTAGAACATGATTTTTATTTTTAAAAACTTAGGACATAAACGGCATAACATTTAAAAGACATTTCGAATTATCTTTATGTTTCCTCACAACTATGTGTTTGAAGGCCAAACAATATGATAAGTATTCGACCTTTTTTAGTTTTTATTTGCATATGACGTGTCGTTGTGTGTTTATTTATTTCCTAGTTTTTCTACTTGTTGTGTTGTTGTTTTTTATGTCGTTTCATGGTATGTAGAAGATGTCGTTCATAATATTCTTGTCGTTTCTCAATATATCGTTTTCAAATTTTATGCTGTTTTGCTGTTTTCAATTTAGTGTCGTTTTCCTCAGACATTTTCATTGTCGTTTTTATGTTTATTGCCGTGTACCCTTTCTTCTCTGTTTTGATGTCGTATTTTTATTATTTAATTCCTCTTTACCATACGCCTGTTTTCCTTCAGAAAGGGGGAAAAAAAGGCTCTTGTTTTTATTCGTCTTTTTTGGTCAGACGTTATTCCATTGTCGTTTTTCATTCAGATGTCGTTTTCTATTTGTTGTAGTTTTCCGTCTGTTCTCACTTTTGTGCAGACGTCCTTACTGTGTAGTCCACGTTTTATGTCGCCTTACCCTTTGTTGTCGTTTGTTTTGGGTCGTTTTCCATTGATTGTCGTTTTTTTGTCAATATAGTTCTTTTTTCGCCATCTCGTTGGAGAAGAAACAGTTCAAGCCGCCAACCAGACAAGGGGGCAACATTCTTAACTGAAAAGAGGGAAACAAAATATGAAAACATTGAAGAAACAATAATCCGAATGGCGAAATCTTTGATGAAATTTCATCAATATCCGATAAGGTTGAACAAGACAAAGCATGGACGATTTTTGAGGAAAATTATAATATTGCTTAAGTTGCAACACGTGACTAAGAGACGAAACTATCCCATGAGTCCGTGACCCATCAACATAATGTTTCATGTTTGAGACCCGAAGAAGCAGGGGAAGTACAAAATAGTTACTTTGGGAACTATAAAAGAGCATATTATCGTTATGAATATATGAAACAGTCACGGGCCTCTTTGGCTGGGCTAGTCCTAAAATTGTTTCATTTCAAGTCCATTCCTTTCTCCTCTCAATAAAATTCTGGATTTATACCCTTTTATTTTTGATTGGTACCTTTAGATAATCTTGATAAATATCCCTTAAAAGTGCATAAATCAAAATTTTTATTTTTCACTCTTGATTTATAACTTTTTTAGTTAAATAATTACACTAACAAAAGGATATTTATCAAGAGTAAAGAGTAAGAGTCCAGACTCATACATTCACGCGCTAGTAAGGATAAATTATCTATTTTTTCATACCATTTTAACTAATATAGTTATTTAACTAAAAATAATATTAATCAGGAATTAAAACTCCAAATCCATGCACTCTAAAAGGTATTTATCTCATTTCCTCTTCTCTCTTCTCTTCGGCCTAGCATACATTAACTCGCCCCTATTTCGTTCAACAATATAAAGTGAAAAGCCTCATTCCCAATCAGGCCAAGTTCTAAACCCATGTTTGGTATAGAATTTAATGGGGGCAATTCAACTTGAAATCCCAATTCAAAGCACCCCAATGCGGAATTGAGAAATCCCCCACCCCTCAATTTGACTCTTTGAACGGTTTCTTCACGGTGAAATGCAATTCACCTTTTAGATTCTCTAGTTCAAATTGAATATATTGATTCATAAACATATCGTTTCATTTTATGATTTTAATGGTCATAGTTTGTAAGTATGTAATTCACAATATCGACGCTGAAACTTGATTAAAAATGGTCATGAAAAGAAAAATATTGCCCCTAAAGCACTATTTGAGTTGAATAGTAAAAAAAAACTGGTGTTATAATCACAAATAATAATAGCTACAATGGTGATAAGTACTACTGGTCGTAAATCACTAATACGGATTGAACGCCGAAACTTTCACCCTAAAAAATTCTACGATAGATGACCCAAACCATACGTAAACCCGCGTAAGCTTTCAGTATACGTTGCTCCAACACTCCTCAAACTTCTATGTGGCAATGAATAGGACCCACAGAAAGACAAACGACAATAAAAGACAAAAAAGGTACATATGGACATGGTGTTTAAATCTAGAGGCGGAAAGAATGGATAACTATTATTCCTTTACCCTCACGTAAAACTCAAAAAGGAGTCATCTGCACAGCTAAATAAGGATCATCCAAATCATTGATGTGATTTGACGATTGATGAAGGGCTTGTTGGTAGCAATTTTTAGAGCTCCATAATATATTAACATGAATAAACAAACTCACAACAGTCCATATGAAAAATATTTACATGAATTGCCCTAACTAAACGTATTTTATGGAATTCCTCATTTTATTAATTTTAGAGTGTTGAAACTTCCTTTCAGGTGAAACAGGTTTGCCCATCCGGCAATTCTGTCAAGCCGATTGAACGAGACTTAACGATGCGAGCAAAACATGATGAGTGTGACGGAACAAAGCCACCAGTTGCTAGGCAAAATTTTTTATTATTAATATTTTTTAAAAAATTATGAGGAGATTGAAAATTTTTCCTTCTAGAATGATAAAGAACAAAACTTTTTCCTTGCAGTTTTCTGCAAGACAACATGACACGAAAAAGAAGAAATATAAAATTCTTTATTTGTACTCGCTACCGATATGGTTTTATTTTTGAACCGTCATATTTGTATTAGATTATGACATTTTTGTAATTTAACCGTTCAGAAAAAATCACCAGCGGTAGGACCTTACTGTATGAAGAGATTGAACATTTTTTCCTTCTAGAAAGAAAAAATAGCAAAACTTTTTCATTGGAGTTCTCTGCAAGAGGGCAGAGGGGCTTCAGTTTAACCAGCTCTTTTGAATTCATTTCTCGGAATTTTGGCAAGAAACAAACGACAACTTATACTCTTACAATCTGTAGGACAAATTGCCATCATCTCCTGATGATTAGTAGCTATTAGTCTCCCCACACGACAGTCCATTACCCTTGGTTTTTTCAAACAACTAGTATTGCAGTGAGCCAGTGAGGGGACCATATAAAAAAAATTGAAGAAAAATTCATTCAAGTCATGTCTCATTAAAGTCTCTCTATAGAATTTTTGACTGACCTCTTTAACGAAACAAAATAATAAATTAAAGCTACTGATAACCACAGTTCACAAGTCATGTTACCAAAAACTGCAAACGCATTTAATGGCATGCCTCTTTGAGGGGTGAACACAGCCCAGGAATTTTGCAGGATGAGTCACTTGTCAATGGTTTATCAACCAATGTCGTTAAGCTTGAATTTTATAAAAATACCACATGGTGTGTCCAATGCTGAAATGTGACAATCCAAAAGCCCAATAAATTTGAAACAAGTACATTGTATATATAACTTTTTAAATAGTGAAGCTAGAGGTTTTTGCCATTAAGATGTTTTGGGACATTTTTTTCTTTATGTCTTTATAAGAAGGATAATTGGGTATGATGTCATTTTTAACATAATAAATATGTTCCAAAGATACCTAGTCACCCGTTATAAACACTATCTAGGGCTTTGGAATCTAATTTAGAGCAGAAAAAGTACCAAACCGACCCTAAAGCTTTGGGGAGGCAGATTTTCCCACCAAAAAAGAAAAAGAAGCCAAAGTTGAGGAGAGAAAGAAGTTAAGAAATCATTGTGTTGTGTGTGTTTTTTTTTTTTTTTTTTTTTTTTTTTTTTTTTTTTTTTTTAACAGTTTTACACAAAGTTAAAGTAGAAAGGCGCATGGGCTAAGAGACCAAATTATTGTTGGGGGATGAAGTGATTTT